ATTTAGAGAAGTAAGTTCATTTTTGTAGTGACTTACCAGAGTGAAGAAAGGGGTTCAGAGAGGTTAAGTAATTTGTCCAAAGTAGAGCTGTCATAGGATATAAGGGTTTATGCCCTTGGATCCTGCTATACTTACTGCTGTATTTCTGAAGGCCAAAAGTAAAATTAGTATGTTTTTCTTACTTGGTGCAAACTCTGCCTCACACTTGCTAAGCAGGCACCCTACCACTTGAGCCACTCTGTCAGCCCTTTTATGTGTTGGATATTTTTGAGACATTCTCACAAACTGTTTGCCTGGGCTTGTCTCGAATCTCTGCCTCCTGAGTAGCTAGGACTACAGGTGTGTCACTAGCACCTGGCTAGCCTTGATACTTCTGTGAGTCCTGAAGGTTCTTTCTCTTGAACACATCCCTATTTCTTCTACCTGTTTCTGCTTCCACTGGTGGAACTGAACTGGTGACCTTACCTGAACTATTAGAATAGTTTCCTTATCGTTAGCAGCCTTTATTATTGCCCACCTACATTATACTCAAAGCAGTCAGGGACGTTCTTCAAATGGAAAGGAGACGATGTTATTTTCCTGCCTAAAACCCTTCAACACTTTTGCATTGCACTTCAGAGAAACCAACCCTACCTTCCAGCCTTACTTAGTATACTGTCAGACACAATGACTGTTGATGTTTTCTTACTTAACAAGTTCATTACCACCTCAGGTCTTTGTATGGGCTGTGTCCTCTACCAGGGCTGCTCTGGTCATTGATTCTTTTGCTGATTCCATATCATTTAGGTCTTAGTTCATGTCACCATCTATATTAGTCAGTTTTTCATCAGTGTGGCAAATATCTGTCATATTTAAAAGGAGGAAAGATTTGTTTTGGCTCAAGTCTTCAGACCATGGTTGGCCAGTTCCATTGCTGTGGACCCAAGGTGAGGCTGAACATCGTGGTAGAGAACATGTGAGAGAGTAAAACAGCTCAGCTGTGGTGGACAGGAGGCAGAGAGATACAGGAGGGGGTCAGGACAAGGTGTAACTCCAAGGATATGCCCCCAGGAATCTCCTCCTTCCAGTTAGGCACCCTCTGCTAGTTTCCAACATCACCTAAATTGTGCTAGCAGTTGCAGACCAAGGCTTCAACACATGAGCCTCTGGGGGGCATTTCATATTCAAACCATAACACCATTTCAGTGTAGCCTTCTCTGACTAATCTAGATATTCTCTACCCCAACACTTTCATAATTATCATGTTTCATTTTCTTTGTAGTTCTCATCATTCTGTTATGTTAGTTTATTGCTTGCTTCTTTAATGTCTTTGCTTATCTTTATTTTCTAGAAATCAAAGCCTAGAAAACTATGCTTGGTACATAGTAGTAGCTCAATTACTATTTATTGAATGAATGGAAATTTTCATCTGACTTTAGCATCATTGTGAATATCATCTGCCAGTCTCAAATATTTAAAATGGATTGTGAACTTGTGATCCTCAGTCCATGTCTGGCCTAGAGATACATTTCACTTGACTTGTTCCATAAGGTTGTTTGAGTTGTAACTTATAGTCAAGGGCACAGATGCTTAGTGTACAACTTCATGAATTGTACTTATGTGTGTACTATATAACTATCTGTCAGATAATGATGTTTAACATTTGTGGAAACCCAGAAGGCTTTCATAGCTCTTTCTTGCCTCTGCCACTTCCCACAGGGTAACTTGCATAGAATTAAGTAGCCTCTAACATTTAACAATTGGAAGACTTCATATAAAAATCCAGAATTCCAACATCTCTAAAAATTCAAGGATCTGTCAAGAAGTACCTGCTTTCTCTTTTGACTACAGCTTACTATAGTGGAGAAGAAGCTTTCTGAAGTGTTGGCATGTGCCCTCCTTCTCTCCCTGACCTTGAAATCAATTGCCAGTTGCCACTTAACAATTTCATTAGAATTGTTTTTCTTAGATTGAGAAATAGTGCCATTTTTAAGACTTTTCTGGCATATTGCCAACTTACTGGTGATATTATAAATTGATGTTATTGTTAAACAATGAACAGTGAGTGTTCATATCCCTACAACTGTGCCAACACTAGGAATTACAAAGTTCTGTTAATATATTTAGAAAATATAAAAAATTGGAATGCTGGCCAAGTTTTTCATCTTCTCTACTTTATTTTAAAAGACATAATATAGAAATACGTAGCATATGTTAATTGTACAAAGGGGTTTCACTGTTATATCTACATACATGCATATAAATACTTTGACCAAATTCACCTCCTCTGTTAGACCTTCTCACCTCCCCTCCTTTAAGTTTTTAATGGGTTTCAGTATGATATTTTCATATATATATGATGTACTTTGATCATATTCATCCCCTCATCACCCTTCCCCACTCCCCTTCTCATACATTCCCTCCCAAAATAATCCTTTTTTACATTCACATCATTTTTTAAGGCCTAGATTCCACATGAGTGAAACTGTGACATTTGTCTTTGTGAGCTTAACCCATCTCACTCAATGTGATGATTTCCAGTTCCTTTTCCTCCAAACAACATAATTTCTTTATTGCTGAATAACACTCCATTGATATATACCACGTTTTCTTTATCCATTTGCTAATTGTTGGCTGATTCCATACTTGGCTTTTGTAAATGGTGCTGCTATAAACATGGATGTGCAGATAGCTCTATTGTGTTTAACTTACATTCCTTTAGATATGTGCCCAAGAGTGGCATATAGCAGGATCATATATCATATAATAGTTCTAGTTTTAGTCTTTTGAGGAACCTCTATACTGATTTCCATAGTTGCTGGACTTTTACGCTCCCACTAACAACCCACTACTCCCTGCATCTTTGCCAACATTTATTGTTTTCTTGATGATAACCGTTTTGACTGGGTGAGATGGAATCTCAGTGTTTTGATTTGCATTTCCTGTATGGCTAAGAATGTTCACTTTTTTTTCATGTATTTATGGGCCATTTTTACTTCTTTTGAGAATGGCCTGCCCAGTAATTGAATTATTATTTGGTAATTAGTTTTTTGAGGTCTTTATATATTCTAGATATTAATACTTTGATGACTAGCTGGCAAAGATTTTTCTCCCATTCTTGTCCTTTGATTCTGATAATTGTTTCCTTTGGTGTGCAGAAGTCTTTTAATTTGATGTTATACCATCTGTCAATTCTCATTATGTCTTAAGCAATTAGAGCCCTATTCAGAAAGTTCTTGCCTAGGTATATACCTTCTAGTGTTTATCTTTTTTTTCCTTTTTGTTTTTTTGTAGGGCTACATTTTGAGTTCAGGACTTGGTGCTTGCAAAAACAGGTGCTGTGCTGCTTGAGCCACAACTCCAGTCCGTTTCGCTCTGGTTATTTTAGAGCCAGGGCCTTGAGAACTATTTGCCCTGTTATTTTTGGAGATGGGGGTCTTGCAGACTATTTTCCCAGGCTGACCTCGAACTGTGATTCTCCTTATCTCAGCCTCCCAAGTAGCCACTGGTGCTGACTTGGACTTTGTATTTTTCCTGTGTTTCCCTGTAGTGGTTTCAAAGTTTCATTCATACATTAAGATCTTTGATACATTTTGAATTGATTTTTGTACAGGATGAGAGAGGGGGATCTAATTTCAGATTTTTATATATGGATATACAGTTTTCTCAACACCATTTGTTGAAGAAACTGTCTTGCTGTCTTTTCTCCAACATACAGTTTTGACTCCTCTGTCAAAAATCAGCTGTGCGGGTTTATTTCTGGGTCTTCTATCTTATTCTGTTTGTCTGCGTGACTTGTTGCTATGGCTCTGTAGTATAACTTGAGGTCAGGTATTGTGATACCTCCAGCACTGCTCTTTTTGCTTAGGATTGCTTTGACTATTGGGGGTCTTTTATGCTTCCATATGAATTTTAGAATTGGTTGTCCTATTTCTGTGAAGAGTGACACTGGGATTTTGATGGGATTGCTTTCAGTAATATAACCATTTTCACAGTATTCTGCCAATCCACAAACATTGGAGGTCTTCAGTTTCTTTCTTCAATGTTTTATAGTTTTCATTGTAGAGATCTTTCACTTCCTTGATTAAGTTTATTCCTAGGTATTTTATTTTTCAAGGCTATTGTGAATGGGATTGTTTTCCTGATTTCTTTCTTAGCCTGATCTTCTTGGTATGTAGAGAAGCTACTGATTTTTGTGTGTTGATTTTTGTATCTAGCTTCTTTGCTGAAAGTGTTTATTATATCTAAGAATTTTTTGGTGGAGTCTTTCAGGGTCTTTTAAGTATAGGACATAGGATCTCATCATCTGCAAAATAGGGATACTTTGAGTTCTTCCTTTCCTATTAGTATCCCTTCTGTTTCTTTCTCTTGCCTTATTTCTCTGGCTAGGACTTCAAACACAGTGGAGTCAACACCCTGTCTCATTCCTGACTTTAGAGGAAATGGTTTCAGTTATTTTTATTCTGTGGGTTTGTCCTTAGCCTAAGGTGTGTTGCTTCTGTTCCTAGTTTGTGCAGAGCTTTTTACCATGAAGTGATGTTGGATTTTGTCAAAGGCTTTTTCTGTGTCTATTGAGATGATTATGTAGTTTGTACTTTACTCTGTTTGTGTGCTATATATATGATTATGTGTTCATTGATTTGCATATGTGGAACCATCCTTGTATGCCTGAGATGAAACCAACTTCACTGTGGTGTATGATCTTTTTGGTATGTTATTAAAATTGGTTTACAAGAATTTTATTGAGAATTTTTGCATCTATGTTCATCAAGGAAATTGGTCTGCAGTTTTTTTGTTGTGCACTTACCTGGAAAGCCTTTAACTTTGATCCTTATGTATTTTATACATATGTATTATTTGTTTTATATAATTATTAATCTCTATTGTGTTCTGTGTCTTCATGGTAATAAATACTGCAAAATTCTTGTTTTTGAAGCACATATGTCTAATTCTCGCACGTTGGTTTATACTGGCTTTCATATTTTAAATTAGATGCAATTATTCTGTCATTTGCCTTTAAGGAGATGCCTACATAGAAGAGTGACAGCAGCTGTTCTTCATGTTTCAGTTCTGAACTATCTCCTCAGGTGTCCTGGCTCTGGAATTTGCTATGGGAGATTGGATGACTGTTACAGATCCAGGTCTGTCTACAGGTAACTGAGTCTAAAATAATTGGAAATAGTAAAGGTGAATTTTTCAACAAAATAAAATAGTTAACACAGATATTGAAGATATGACTAGAGGGAGCCATAAATGAGTATAAAATGCCTATTTTTCATCTTCAAAGAGAATTAGGATAGTAGATTATTTGTATCCATTATCATTATTATTATCCATGTAATGAATAGATAATAGATTCATTATATATATTTATATATAGATTTTTTAAAAATCTATATATAATAAATAGATTATTTTTAAGAAAATTTTGTACTTGAAATATGTTCATTGGTTACTTATTTTTCTCCAGTTCTTTTAGAGACATAAATTTTGACATAAGTGTTTTTCAATTATTTTTATAAATCTAAAGTAGTTGAGGTTAAGTTTTGTTGTCACTTAACATTCGTACCAAGAACACCACTTAAAATATATAGGTTTCATATAAAAATGGCTTTTTCCTAATTTAAAAGTACTTTAAAATACATATAAAGTGTGTGTGTGTGGGTGTGTGTGTATTTATAATTCAAAAACTTTGATAATGGAGATTTTTAACTTTACATGCATTTTTATAAATTATTTATATGAATTCTTTTCTTTCAGAAAGCAAAAATATCTCTCAGTATACCTCAGAAACAAAGATGTCTCCATCAAGTTTATATTCACAGCAAGTGCTATGTTCTTCAATACCTTTATCAAAAAATGTGCACAGTTTTTTCAGTGCCTTCTGCACAGAAGAGAATATTGAACAAAGTATTTCATATCTTGATCAGGTAACATGTTTTGGTAAAAGAAGCAAGAGCATACATGAGTCATATAATAGAAAATATAAGGGTATAAGAAAAACATTTGTCATGTACAAGTATATTGTTATGCAGTGGCCTAAGACTCGGGTCACACTTGCAGAGGACCTCGTTGGTCATCTCTAATACAAGGTTAACGGTTCTGTTTGGAGCAGTTTGTCCGCTCCATCATCCCAGGCTCCTCCACAGTCTGACCCTCATGGTATGGATGCAGAAACCTACACACCTTACTGTCAGGTCACAGGTGATTCTAGAGCAGAGTCCAGAAAAAAAGCACATTTCTTTCTTTATTTTTTGTTTTGAGGGATATTTGCTATTTTCTTAATAATCTGGGAATAGTTTTCTGTTTCAGAAAAGATTTATCCTTTTTAACCTTTAAAAATTAACCTTATTTAAAATTTTCATTAACAAGCAAAAATTATATATATGTATGTAATGTATTGTGTACAACACAATGTCTTGAAATACATATACATTGTGGAATGGCTTTGTTGAGCTAATTAGCATGCATATCTTTGGAGGAAAGAATACTTCAATTCTATGCTCAGCAGCTTTCAAGAATATAATACATTGTTACTAGTAATACTTACCATGTTATACAGTAGATCTCATTCTTCCTACTCTTATTCTTCCTTCATAACTGATATTTTGTATCATTTAGCCAATATCTTACCAAGGATAAACAACTTTTTAAAAAAAACACTTTCTCCTACCAGGAATTGACTACTTTTGGTTTTCCTTCATTATATGAAGAATCCAAAAGTAAAGACACAAAGAGAGAATTAAATATAGTTGCTGTTTTAAATTGTATGAATGAGCTACTTGTACTTCAACGGAAGAATCTTCTAGCTCAGGAAAATGTGGAAACACAGAATCTGAAACTGGGAAGTGATATGGACCATCTACAGAACTGCTATGCAAAACTTAAGGTAGAAATTGTACATTTATTTGCATTTTAATGTAATTATTATAGAAGCCTGTGCTATAAATGTTCATTGGCTTTATTAAATAAATTTTATTTTTAAAGCTTTGGGTTTTTTAAAATTGGTAAGTATAAATGAACTTAAATAATTTGCCCAATGTCTGTATTGAAAGCATTGGTTTTATGAACTCGTTAGTTACTTGTTGAATCTGTAGAAAGTTAGGAAGTACTTATGTCCTTGCTTAATAAGAGTCTTGTAGGCTATATTTTCTTGATTACAAAAAAAATAATTTTGAGGCATGTAGGTCAAAGGAGCTCAAGCTCAATAATGGAAACAGGCCATATAGCATCCAGCCATTAGAAGTCCCTGTAGCTCTAGAAAAGATCATAAAAAATGCTTTAGTAAATTAACTTTTCTCTGAAAAAAAGGAATGCTTTCATGGGCCTGTTGACCTGCTGCCTTAAAATGTAGAACATTTATTATTGGTTTCTGGTTCGCTTCACTTACTTTTTTTGGTTAACTTTTTATGTTTTTCTTTTTAAAAAATACTTATTTGAGAAGGAGAGGAACAAGATGTGTGAAATCAGTGTAAGGACTTGTATACTCACTGATTATAGTTATATATTATTAAGGATATTATCAATCCAACCTAATGTTTTTTTCCATTATCCTATATTGGGTTTCCTTATTTATGAGAATCGAGGCCTTTGTATATATGTACTCTCAGAAAATTAGCTTCCTTCTAATTTTTCATCTGTTGATCCATGACCATCTCCTTTTTCTTCTCCCCACCCTTCCAACAATAGTTAACAAAAATCAAACTCGGAATCTTGAATCTCTGAGCTGTGTAAGAGAATAGGATCATTTATGGAATGTTTAGAAGTGGATATGGTGGAGATTTGCTCTATATATGTTACTTCTTAGCTCATATGCAATGGTGACAGTACATATATTCTTAGTAATGTTTTTAGGTTTTTGTACATTCCATTTACTTAAGGGATGGAGATTATTCAACTGTGTCTTGACTGACTAGGGAACTGGGAGTTAGTAACTTCTAGGCTAATAAAAAAGGCTGAGCATTGTGGATACTTCTTTAATCCAGATCATTGACATCTGTGGCAGGTCTTAGTGTGGACTAGATTGATTCATATCTGGAAACCTTAGAAGACAGTATTTTTATATCTGGGCATCCTTGGCCACATGTTTTGTAAGTAACTAGTGAAGAACTGTACAATGGTGTTGGTGATCTAGATCTTTTAAGGCTTTCCTTCAAGAAGTGGTCATTCATTAGGACAATCCAGAGCCAGAATCTTTTTCCAGGTATTTAACCTGGGCTAGAATCTGTTGTTTTGGTTCAGCTGTGGTCAGAAATTATATTCAGTAGGGAAAGTCGATGATCTATCCTCAAAATTTCTTTTTTTGTGTGTGATATTGGGGTTTGAACCCAGGGCCTTGCACATGCTATGCAAGTATTCTACCACTGTATGCTACACTCCAAGTGCTTTTTTTTTATTTTTGAGATAAGTTCTTGCTAACTTTGCCCAGGCTGGCCTCATGTAGAGAGCCTCATTGTCTCCTGAGTAGCTAGGATTATAGCTGTGCATCACTATTCACTATTCTTGAAATTTTTAGAGCTATGATATGATTCATTCAAGTTGATGAGCAAAATTATTTTGAAGATTTATGTGCTTATACTAGTATATATCGCCTCTGTTAACTTTTGAGAATTCACTGAATCTTAGGTAAATTTTATTCAATAGCATATGTGTATTTTAGGAACAACTGGAAACCTCCAGGAGGGAAATGATTGGACTACAGGAGAGAGACAGACAGCTACAGTGCAAGAACAGGAATTTGCATCAGCTACTGAAAAATGAGAAAGATGAAGTGAGTTGTCGGTTACTGTACATAAAGCGAATTTTGGGTTTTGTTTTGTTTTGCTATATAAGTTGAGTTATGACCATAAGAGCCCCTTCACTTTAAAAAAGAAAAGAACCTTCCATTCTTCCCATGCTGAATTGGTATAGTGGACCTCTGTGTACAGTATTGTGTCATATTTAGTTGAGAGGTCAGAGCCCTCCCTTTAGGTCCTCTATCCCCTGTGCCGGGGGCTCAGTGACTTAGTGTGTTAGTTCATACATGGAAGTGACTAGTGCCCTACACCTTCCTTCCTGCCTCACAGTCGCCTACTTTTTTTCAGGTGCAAAGATGCTTTCCATGCAAATCTTTTAGTCTCCGCTGTACTGTTCTTGGTGCCTGGCATGCCCCTTCTTAAACTCTCTTAAATACTGGCATTGTTCATCCACCAGCCAGTTACTTGGCTAAATGAGCACAGGGCCAATTCACATTAAAAATTCATTTCCAAAAAGATATCAGAATTCTTGGTCTTTTTTTTTTTTTTTGCTTTTCGTGGTTACTTAGCAGAATTCTAATTTCTAATTTAGTGGCAACTTAGAATCATGAGGTCTTTTGACATAATTTTAATTTCTTCTTAAGTGCTTACTTAAATGTATAGAGTTAATGCACTTGCACATATTATTTTGTAATGTACCTGAGAAGAAACTGTTTTTATTGCTCTGCAAAGAAATCCATCCATATAATAGCTATAAAAATATACTTATTTTCATTGTTTTAGATCTTCTAACTGAAAGACTTTGAGGGAAGCATATTTCTTTAAAGATCCTTGAAATGATTTAGATAGATTTTTTTCCATACTTGATTATTTAGTAGTATATTTTAATAAGTGGGTAGTTAATATCTTAACCAGACCAGAAGGTTGTTAATAAATATTTCCTGAGGTTATTTCTCAGAGGTTTTGAACTTGATCTATTGATTGCATTTAAATGGCTTGACGGGTAAATTAATCGTATGAATCTCTAGTAGGTGTTGAGAGTGGCTATGTAAGATAATATATACTCCATCAAGAGCTGCCCAAGAAACCGTAATTGATAGAAAATTTGAACAGCAGTGCCTGAGACACAGCAGGTACTTAACAAATGTTGGTCAGAGAGAAGTAAGCCTGGTTTACCTGCTGGCATGTGCCACTGTGTAATGCGCCTGTCACAGGTTGGTAAGTAACATGATGGCAAGTTTGTAGTATAAGGAGGTCACTAAAAATGATCGGGTGAATTCTAGTTGTTTTAGCTGAAGCTCTAATCATTTTAATACTTCTATAAGGCTTCTGGTTTCTAAATTACCATATTCTTCTTTTTGTCTGCAGTGCAGTAGATGATAGGGACCAGGTACTTGGTCTCTTTTTTTTTTTTTTTTATAATTTTTTAATTAATTTGCTAGGTGGATGCCCTACTACTTGAACCATTCTGGTAGCCCCATAGTCTTCTTTTTAATACACATAATTTTATTTATTTTTTTATTGTTGTGCTGGAGGTACGTTGTGACACTTACAAAAGTTCTTATGTCAAATATATCATAGTCAAATTCACCCCTCCATTAGTCTCTTTTATCCCCTCCACCCCAAAATTACCATAGTCTTGTAATGACAGGTAACAGATGTTGAAGCTAACTTACAAAGTTAACACTTCTGGAAATTTCAAAATTAAAAAGTAGTATCTTTGTGTTTCAGTTAATGGTATTTTAAAAAGTAGCTTTCAGTGTCATCAAAAAGGAAAAATCCTAGAATTTACAAACTATTACATGGGAAGATGGATGCTAGGACTTGTATCCTTTGAACTTGGGGATTTTTATTGCATTTATCAACCATCATTTGATAGAAAATGCCTTTTTTCAGGTACAAAAATTACAAAATATCATTGCAAGTCGAGCTACTCAGTATAATCATGATATGAAGAGAAAGGAGCGTGAGTATAATAAATTAAAAGAACGCCTACATCAACTTGTTATGAACAAGAAAGATAAAAAAATAGGTAAGCAGCTGGCTAAATACAGCAAAGGAAGTAAATAAGCTAATATGCTGAGAAATAAGTGTAAAAGGATTGAGTACAACTCATGAAATGTAATTTTCCTACTTTGTATAGTTTATTTTAGATCGTGTATGTCTGTATAAACTAGAAATTTAAGACAACTGGGTAGTGGAAAATAACTCATTTTGTCATGCTTATAATCTAGCTTCTTGAGAGGCAGAGATCAGGAGCATCGAGGTTGGAGGCCAGCTTTGGCCAAAAAGTCCTTGAGACCCCATGTCAACTAAAGGCTGGATGAGGTGGCATGCACCTGTCATCTGGCTATGGAGAAACATAAATAGGAGGATCAAGGTCCAGGCTAACCTGGGCATAAAGCAAGAGCCTGTCTCAAAAGTAATTCAGAAAGGGCTGGCAGAGTGGCTTAAGTGGTAGAGCACCTTCCTAGTGAGTGTGAGGCCCTGAGTTCAATTCCTAATGCCACACAAACACAAAAAGCCTTTGGTTGCATGTGTTTGTTTAACATGACAGGTATAGGATTGATTCATGGAGAAAAACTAAGCCAGAGGATGCTCTGATTTTCCATTCTATAGGACTGAAAATAATAAGAATCAGGATGTGCTACTTAAAAGAAGTGTGATTTTAGAGTAAACTTCATAAAATTGTTCATCAGACCAAATCATTAAGTCCAGGTTGGCCTTAATCTCCTGTGTAGCTCAGACTGACTCTAAAGCAAAATCTTTCTGCTTCAGCTGCCCAATTGCTAGGATTACAGACATGAACTACCACATCCAGCTCTTCTTTCCTTCAAATAATTTTACCTGTGTGTGTGGGACAGTTTCTTCTTTTTTGGGGGGGATGGGGGTTGAGAGATATATAATTTTTGTGGGGTTTGAATTCAGCGACTCATGCTTGCTAGGTAGGTGCTCTACTACTTGAGCCACTCCACCAAGCCCTGTTGGGATATTTTTGTTTGTTTTTTGGTGGGACTGCAGTTTGAACTCAGGGCTTTGCTCTTGCAAAGCAAGCACTCTACCGCTTGAGCCGCACCTCCAGTCCATTTTGGTCTATTTATTTTGGAGATGGGGGTCTTGAGAATTATTTGCCCGGGCTGGCCTTAAACCATGATCCTGTCAATCTCAGCCTCCCAAGTAGCTAGGATCACAGGCATGAACCACCGGTACCTGACTTAACTGTTTTTTGTTTTTAAAGTGTACTGGTGTTTGAAGTCAGCTCAGCTTCACACTTGGCTAGGCAGGCACTTTATCACTTGAGCCACTCGCGAGCCCTTTTTTGAGTTGGGTATTTTTGAGATAGGGTCTTACAGACCATTTGCCCAGACTGGCTTTGAACCATGATCCTCCTGATCTCTGCCTCCTGAGTAGCTAGGATTACAGGTGTGAGCCACCAGCACCCAGCACCTGTGCATTTTTGAAACAGCTAGTCAGCAAGTACACCATAAATGTCACTTCAGTGTCTGAGGTGTGGCTTTTGTTTATTATTGTAGCTTTCCTCATGGTCTCCCATTTGCAGGTGCACTATTACTTGGCTTTTCAGTCCTACTACTTTCAGTTTGTTTTTCAGATAGGGTTTCTGCTGAGTTTGCCAGGGCTGGCCTCAAACTGCAGTCCTCCTACTTCTGCCTCCTAAGTAGCTGGGACCACAGGTTTTGCCCTACTTGCTTTTGAGATAGGGTATTGCTGACTTTTTGCCTGCCCCAGCTTCAAACCATGAACCTCCTATCTCTGCTCACAAGTAGCTGGGGTTGCGGGAATGTGCCACTACACCCAGCTGTAGTATTATTCTTTTGAAAACTTTAATCTGCAACTGTTTGTGCAAGTGTATGCATGATTTCCAGTAAATAGTATAGATTAAAAAGTCAAACTGCACAGACAGAAGTAGAGCTGTACAGTGAAGTTTGCTGGCCTGGTTACAATTCAGGAAAAAAGGTCTATGCATTTAACTTATTGAAGTAAATCGCAGGGAGTCCTCTAGCCTACATTTTTCAGTGGTACTCTTAGCCGTCTCTCCAAAGCTGCACTTGGACTTCAACAACAACTGGTGAGTATATATTTCAGGCTGTCACATGGTGGGCTTGACTGCTGTCTGAAAGCAGTTCCATGTTGATTGGATCATTACATTTTGTGCAGCAGGCTGTGGAGTTATCTGAATATTGTATTTTAAAAATTACTGAAAAATAGGGCCAGGTGTGTTGGTTCATGTTTGTAATTCCAGCTAGTTGGGAGGCAGATTTGAAGCCAGCTGGGACAAAATGTTAGTGAGACCTGATCTCAATCAATAAACTAGGCATGATGTATGCCTGTTACCCCAGCTTTGGGTTCCATAGGTAGGAGGATCACAATCTGAAACTAACCCCAGGCAGAAAACAAAATGAACACCCTATCCAAAAAATATCTAAAGCAGAAAAGGACTGGGAGGGCTTGTGTCATGGTAAAGCACCTGTAAGCAAGAGGCCTTGAGTTCAAACTCCTGTACCAACCCCTCCAAAAAAAAAAAAAAATCACCAAAAGATAGAAAATGAAGGTGTAATAATAATCAGTTAAAACAAAGTTAGAAACCATCAGGTTCCAAGTTAATATTCTTATGCATGTGAACAGTCATTAATTTTTAAGATTAATTAGCCTCATGTTCATTCATTCATAATGGAACAAAATTGAGGAGCAGGATGAAATGCTGAACATATAAAGTTTAAGATCCAGTTAGAGAAATTTATGAAAGATTTAACTCTAGAAACATTGTATTTAGGGGTCTAGCTATTTCCAGTTCCCAACCTAATTGGAAGTGACATTTCCAGTAATGATTTTTATTAGTTCCAAAATTATAGTAACTTATTCTCTTCCTTCTTCAGAAGAGATGTTAATTGCTGTCAAGGGCCTTGCCTCTTTTGACTATTCTAATGATGATGATAGGGCCTGGCAAACTTTTTCTGTAAAAATCCAAATAGTATCCAGGCACCTGTGGCTCACGCCTGTAATCTTAACTACTCAGGAGGAAGAAATCAGGAGGACTGTGGCTTAAAGCCAGCCCTTGGCACATAGTTTGAGAGACCCTATCTCGAAAAAACCCAGCACAAAAAATGGCTAGTGGAGTGACTCAAGATGTAGGCTCTGAGTTCAATCCCTAGCACTGCCAAAAAAAAAAAAATAGTAAATATATTTGGTTGTATTGGATGTACAAGTAGTTTTTAGACCTGCTACCTCTGCCCATTGTTGGAGAAAAGTATCCATAGACAATATATAAACAAATGGCTGTGACTGTGTTCCAGTAAAACTTCATTGGCAAAAATTAGGCAGCTGACCTGCAAGCCACAGATTGTCATCTCTAGTATTGAAATTAGTAATGCCAGATACTGTGTTCACCTCTACTGTGTTAAGTGTTCTAACCTCACTTCTTTCAATCTTAACAATTCTTTGACATATTCATCCATTCTTCCCACTGTATCAAGGAAGAAACAGGCTAAGCTGTTAAATAACTTACCAGAATCAACAGTGCTTACAAGTGGTTGAACTAGAACTTGAAATTAGGTTACTAGTGCTCAAATCCTAACCTATATACTAGGTTGACTTAGGTCCCTAATGTAAATCACATGAATTAGAGTTTTAAACACATATGGTAAAAATTGGTTTTGTTTTGTGTTCACTTCTGTAGCAATGGACGTTTTAAATTATGTGGGGAGAGCTGATGGAAAAAGAGGCTCCTGGAGGACGGGTAAAACAGAAGCCAGGTAAAGGCCAGGTTAAATTGATAAACATAGTCAGACTTTGCTTTCTTCACTGCATTTTCACACTGACTCTTTCTTTCTCAGGAATGAAGATGAAATGTATAAAATTCTCTTGAATGATTATGAATACCGTCAGAAACAAATCCTACTGGAAAATGCTGAACTTAAGAAGGTTCTTCAGCAAATGAAAAAGGAAATGATTTCTCTTCTTTCTCCCCAAAAGAAGAAACCTAGAGAAAGGGCAGACGATAGCACAGGAGCTGTAAGTGGCCTTTTCTCTCTCATACGGTCTTCAGATTGCTTAGTGGGGGCACTTGCTATTTTCAACAAGATAGTCACTGCTGTGCTGCCTCAAGTCACTGTGACAGCCACAAATGTCCCTGTTATGTTTTCAGACACAGCCTGAGAAACAATGAAGATAATCTCCAGGGACTTAATTCTTGCCAGGTGCTGTGATGAGCACTTCATAAGCATTGTCTTATATTATTTCTCATAGGAGAAACTTTTTAAGCATTATAATATTCCAAATATTATAACAGTGTGATGATTTATTTTCTCATAGATGAGGAAACTGATGAGTTACTAGCACAATATCACATATGACAAAATTAGGATTTGATATATTTATTTTTATATTATTTTGTTTTTGGTAGTACTGGGGCAGTTGAACTCAGGGCTTTTGCTTGCTAGGCAGACGCTCCACCGTAAGAGCCAAACTAGGATTTGAATCCAAGTCTGCCTCCAGTGCTCAAGCTGACAGCCATTGTGCCAGATATCCTTTCAGTTGTTTTAAATACTGTGTACTCTGTTTTTCAGAGTGAAACTTTTAACCTTGGAGGCCAGATTTGTTCCACATATTTATTGAGGGCTCATGGAGAGAAAAAGCTGGAAAGATTTTTTTACTTTTTCCTTCAAAAATTCTTTCTCGGAGAGCCAGACATGTGGATAAGTGATTATCACACGTGTGAAGTGCTGTGATAGGGTGGCACAAGAGGTAAAACAACAGTCAACACAGCAATTGAGGCCACCACAGACAGAGAAAGTGACATCTGAGTAGGCGCCTAAGAAAATCAGTGAATGCTTTTGACAAAAACATGGGGAAAGCATTTGATGCAGGGGGAATATGTATTGAGAGATCTGAAAAAAAATCACAGCATGATGAAAAGTTCTTTTTACTTACTTTATATAAAAGTTTGAATTCTGGGTTTTAGCAAGCTCTCATTAGTTATTAAAATCTGACAATAACCTTGTTGATAGAAAATGCTAATCACCAGCAAGTCACCATAACTTGTTTTTTAAACCTGTATTTGAGGATTATTTTGTAAGATCTTAAATCAATCCAATTAATAAGCCCATTTACCTTCTAATTTTTTTATCCTTTAAAAATTGCTTTAAAATATTACTTGAATATAGTAATCCCCTTATCCACAGAGGATATGATCCAAGACCCCCAGTGGATGCCTGAAACCAGATAATGCTAAACCCTATATATACTATGTTTTTTCCTATTAAGCTTTCTCATGTTTTTCCTATATGTATTTTACCTATGAGGAGGTTTAATGTATAAATTAGGAATAGTAAGAGGTTAACAGCAATAACTAATAAAACAGTTGTTATAATATACTATAATAAAATGTTATGTGAATATGGTATCTTTCTTCAAAGTATCTTATTGTCAAACTACACAGTATGTTTGGGAACTAAGACTAGTCCTATATTTTTTACAATCTCTAATTTAAGGCTTGACCTTTTGTATTTATTTAACCTTTTCTCTCAAAGTCTGCCACTTCTAGTTACTTGCTACCTTTCACTCTTCAGGATTAGTGGCTTACATTACTCATGAGGCTGGTTCAGATTTGGGTCATTCTTTATGGACTTTTCCCTTTTTAAAAAAAATTTATTTTATTGATTTTTTTTTTTATTACCAATCTCAGCAAAAGTGGATAATAATTCCAGGAGGTCTTTCTCAGATTCTTACCTCCTCCCCACCTATTACTCAGCAGTGGGTGGTATCTTGTTGTAACTCCTTATAATTCAGATGTTTAATTTTGGAGAAATAATTCTGTAGCATATTTCCTATTTTTAAAAGACCAATTTTTCTAGTTACCTTTACTCTTAAAATTTGAGCAATTCAACCATTGCTTTGTTTTAAGAAAAGATTTTCTAGCATTGTAGCAAGAGGAATAAGGTAATTTTGGAATGCCTACATAAGCATCCAGGTTTCACCTTTTCGGCTTACTTAGTTGTAGCCAAAAAAATGTATCAAAATTCAGGTTGTGGATTCTTAATTTTCATCTTGTGGTAATAGATTTTTATAAAATCTGGGAAATATGCAGTAATTACTAATTTTTTTAACAAAAGATTTATGACATAGGTTGAGCATTCCTACTCTGAAAATTTGAAATCCACAGTACAACAAAATCTGAAACTTTTTGAGGACCAACATAATGCTAAAAGTAGGAAATTTCACACCTAATCTCACTCATATCAGTCAGAATGAAGACGCAGTAAAGATACTATATAAAACTGTCTTCAGGCTATGCATATAAGGTGTTTATTTAGAACATAAATGAATTTTGCTTACCCTTGCATCCCATCCCTTATGTGATATTCAAGCCTTGCAAAATCCAAAATCTTAAACACTTCTGATCTCAAGCATTTTGGATAAGGGCTGCTAAACCTGTATTCAGAGAGGCCTTAAAAGGCATGGAAGAGAAGATGTCTCTCCTTGGAAGAGTTACTGGCAGATGCCCCTGAAGAATGATGGGCAAGGGCCAGAGTCACAGCAAGCCACATCCTGGCCTTTTCCTCACCTGCTCTGCCTCGGGGTCTTAACCTCTGTTAGCCCATTGCTGATTCACTCACTGCCTGCTTGCTGCTGCATCTGTGTGGAAACAGTCTTATCAGCCCCGTCTTTTCTCCTGCAAGTTATTTCTCCTTCAAATTAGTCAGATATATCCACCTTCCTGGATGTTAGTAATAAATTAGGACAAGTTATGTCACTGCTGGTTATTATTGTTACTGGAGTTTCATTTGGGTCCTTGGTCCTCGCATTCCCACAAGAAAAGATTTCAAGCAAGATGTGAAATGTTGTGAAAGTAACAGCAAAGTTTATTAAGAGAAGTAAGGATACATTTTTACAGAGGAGAGCAGGTCATCTCGGAGAAGAGATCAGTGACGCATTTTTCTTTTCTTTTTTTTTTTTTAATTCTTTTTTTTTGTTTTTGAAATTTTTTGTTTTAATGCTTGGGTCATTTCTCCCCCCGCCCCCACCCCCTCCCTTACCACCCACCCCTCTTCCTCCCTCTCTCAGCTTTATTGCGGTTTAAGAAGTTTTTAAAATAGCCTTTTAAAAGTTTATTAAGACAGTATTGTTTTATTTTTTAACCACTTATATCTCATCATGAATCCTACCACAATCCTTCTGTGACATGCTTTTCCCTCCTGGTTTTGTCCATGTCTATTTCCATTTTGGAAGAATCCTTTAGTTTAAGACAGAACCTTATTGTACCATGCCAAACCATTTTTATCCAGAAAATGTCCTCTCATAATTTTGTTATGTCCCTCAAGCCTTACCATATTCCATCAATTGTATCTCAGCATAAACCCTAATAATCTTTCTGCACCATTCTTTTAGACTGTTGGCTTTGCATTTTTCTGCCTGTTTCCATCTTCAAACAATCCTTTGCTTTTAAGACAAATACAAAATATTTTTGTATCTACAAATACTCTCTCTCACACATATATATATGTGTGTGTGTATGTAAATATATATGTGTGTGTATATATATATATATATATGTACATATATACCCTTTTTTTTTTTTTGGCAATGCCTCATCTACTTACTGATTCCCTTTTCCTTGTTACCTGTCCACAGCTATAGATATTATGCAAACTTGGCTGCTGCTTAGATTTTTAAAAGGCTATCTTTACACATTTCCCCCCTTTTGTCTTAATATGAGTCTAAGAGTTATAGAATGTTACATTCCACCCAGGGGTGGCTGAGATAACTTCTGAATGACCTTGAATAGCAAAACTATCTAATACAAGCAAGAAGAAGACAGAAGGGAGAGGAAAAATACATAAAGAGCTCAAAACCTTTACATACTAATCCTGAAGTTTATGATACAAAAGTCGGATTGATGGGTAATTATTTGGTCTTCCTGGACACAGGTGGAGGAGAAGTAAATCTCCAGTGTTCTACAAGTTTTGCCAAATAATCCAGAATTTGAGAGTAAAACTGAGAAGGCATAGGTCCTTCTATATCAATAAGTAATCAGGTAGGCTTATCAGAATCAGAGGGAGAATAAAGTCACCTGCTCCTGAAAATGGGGGTCTCCTGGAGCCTTCTGCCTTGATCCACCAAAATATGTCCTGGATTCAGGTCATCAGGTCTAGGAGCCAGAAAGTTCTGGTCTCATCAGAGAAAAAATGTAAAGACAGACAAAGAGAAGACTTAAGAAGGAGTGGGTCTATTAATGCAAAGCAAAAGCAAAACAAAAGAGCACTCTCCTTGTGGGAGAATGGGCAGGAGCACTGCAGTGGAGACCTCAAGCTTTTATTGGGGTCTGGGGAAATGGAAGTGGTCAGTTCTGGAAAACTGGGTAATATGCATTATCTTTTAAGACTGGACCGTATGCTATCAACTCCTCTCACATATTAGAAAAGAGGAGTTTTTGGCCTTAGATGGTCAGACTGGAGGGTGTTGTTATTTTTTGTAGGCTGCAGGGGTTGTAGGTCAGCAAGGCCCTGCTGTATGTCAACAGTCTAGGATGTGATTCCTTGCCAACAGTTTCCTAACTCCTTGTCTAGCCCCTAGATCATTATGACATGTACCTTTTAGTATCGTTTCCCTGTTCTTTATCTTACTTTGATCCTTTATGATAACTTATCAATAAAATTTGGTACATTTTCTTGTGATTTTGTGTGTTGGTACAATGGAAGGGAAATAGCTCTAGTTGTAAACAGAATTATATGAGGAAAGCCTAGGATTAGAGACAAGTTGATTTAACTTCAAATCTCAGTTCTACTTCTTAGTTGTATGACACTTAATCTTCTTTCCTAAACCTGAATTTTTCCATATTGTAACATGACTTGAGGATTAAATAATGTGTGAAAAAATACTTAGCACAGCATTAGATAGGTAGTGACAGTCTCTTACCCAACTCTGTGACTTGTCACTAACTAGATTCAAGTTCCTGCCTGAAGAGATTTGAATTGGGGAGTTTCTATCCTCAGTATTAATTGCTTTTTTCTAAGGTATTTATATTAAGTACTGGGTCACATACATGTAATATACAGTGCAGGAATTATTTTGGTAAGGCTGTCTCTGATAATTAGCCTAATGAGTACTGGCTTAGTAAGACAGGGTCATCTTAAGACACTGGTCTTTTCTTTTCATCTTTCACCACTTATAGGTTATTTCTGATGTTGAAGAAGATGCTGGAGAACTCAGCAGAGAGAATATGTGGGACCTTTCCTGTGAGACTGTGAGAGAACAGCTTACAAATAGCATCAGAAAACAGTGGAGAATTTTGAAAAGCCATGTTGAAAAACTTGATAACCAAGGTAGCTACTGCTTTACTGTGTGTGGAGTGGGTTGCAGCAGTCAGCTGTTGATTTTCATTCACTTGGAAAACCACATTATGGCTCAGACTGGAACTCTGTAGCTCAGTTTGGTGGTTTGAGTAAAAGATTTTGTCTACTTGTTGCAATGAGACTTGAACTTCCATGAGAAAACACTTTACTGTTCCTGCCACATAAAGTTGAATGAAGAGAACTGAATCTCTTCCACTAAGTCTTTTTTTTTGGTGGTGATGGGCTTTGCACCTCAGGGCTGTGTGTTTGCTAGGCAGATGCTCTACCACTTGACCCTTAGCCCTTTTTTTTGCTGTAGTTATTTTGCAGATATGGTCTTGTGTTTTTGCTCAGGGCCACTTGGGACCTTGATCCTCCTACTACAACCTCCCGTGTAGCTGGGACTACAGCCATGCACCACCATACCCAGCTCATTGGTTGAGATGGGAGTCTTACTAACTTTTTGCCCAGGCTGGTCTCAAACTTCAACCCTCCCCATTTCTGCCTTTTGAGTAAGTGGGATTACAGGTGTGAACCCAGCCTCTTTTCCTAAATCTTGAAAATCAAGAAATGCTCATAGCGATGTACATTTTACCTTTGTTACGTTTTCATGTTTTTAAATCAAGAAAATTAAGATTTCCACTCAGTAAATGAAGTCTATTTTAAGAAACATGAATTTAAATTATCAAAATAATGAACTCAGTGCCTTAAGTAGTAAAGAGTAATCAGCAAACAGTACCAATTTTACTTTATATGAACTTAACATAAAATAACTCACCTCAGTCATTACTTTATGCTTGGACTTCATGCTTGTTGAATTTAATATGCGGGAGCACGATTTGTAGCACTGCATTGATCTTTGAAACAATATCAACAAGAACATAGTTTACAAATTTGTTTTTGATTCTTCTGTGAATGTAGTCAGGTCATCTGTGTTTAATCTGGATGTAGTCTTGAGTAAGTATGGTTTATAAATTAAATGTATGAGATTTCAGAAAGACAAGTTCTGAGAACCTTGATTTTTAAATATATGTTCAAAAACACTCATAAACTTTGGCGGCAGTAAACCTGTGTCAGCTTACTCTGTGTGTGTGTGTGTGTGTGTGTGTGTGTGTGTGTGTGTGTTAGTTTCCAAGGTACACTTAGAAGGTTTTATTGATGAAGATGTAATCTCACGGCAAGACCATGAGCAAGAAACTGAGAAACTGGAGTTAGAAATTCAGCAATGTAAAGAAATGATTAAAACACAGCAGCAACTTTTACAGGTAAATGTGAATTACCTTTTAAAGCTTTTCTCCCCCATGAAAGGCCAAAATTTTACTAGATTTTGTATTCCTTTATTTCATAAGATTTATAGAATTTGTCATTTTCCCTAATCTCCACTAACATCAAGTGCTCCGTGCTTTGCCAGCTGGGGTTGCAAGCATTTGGGAAAAGATAATCCTCATCTGACTTTGTGATTCTTTGTAGTCTGTGTCCTTGCCCAGAGTCTGACCTGTGGTGCATGCTTATTTCAGCTTGAGGTATGTAGGGCTCCTGGAATTTACTAGGTTCTCAAATTCCACAGCAGCAGCTCGCTACTGCGTGCGATGATGACACCACTTCACTGTTGCGGGACTGTTACTTGCTGGAAGAAAAGGAACGCCTCAAGGAAGAATGGTCACTTTTTAAAGAGCAAAAAAAGAATTTTGAGAGAGAAAGACGAAGCTTTACAGAAGCCGCTATTCGCCTGGGATTAGAGGTGCTTTTCAAAATTCTGGGGAGGAGGGAACTCGGTCAGATGCTTCTTAGTTCTGATTTTGTTTCTTTGCTGTCTTAATTTTTCTCTAAACTGTTTTACTGGTCATCCATAAAAACTTGAAACTGAAGAGCTGAACATTTGAACTATCGTAGGGTGACATTTTTTCCCCATACCAGATTTGGGAATTGATAACTTTTTTTTGCTGTTCCAGAGACACTGGGGGTTTGAACCCAGGACCTTATACTTGTTAGGCAGGTGCTCTACCATTTGAGCCACTCTGCCAGTCAAGATTTGGGAATTGAAATTTTAAAAACCAGAAAACTATTAAGTATTCATTTATCCATTTCTGACTGGTTTCCTTCTGTTAAGTATTCAGTTTCCTTTGGGCATCTGTCATTTATCTACTGTCAATAGATAAGGTGTCAGAAGACAAAACAATTAAGAACACATTTGTTTTAAAAGAAAGTGCAGTGAAAAATAGTCCTTCCTCTGTTTCTAGTCCCTTATCCAGTAATGTGTGCATTAGCAGTTTGTTATATGCACAGTATATTTCTATAGCTTGCCCTTTCAAAATTAAAGATGTAATGTCTGAAAAAAAAAAAGTAACCCATACAAAAACCTGCATAGTGAGAAAGTACCCACCTCCTTTATCATTCCCAGTTTCATTCTCTAGAGGTAACCAATGTTAAAAGTTTCTATTCGTAATTTTTCTGCAAAGTACTTTTTAAAAACTAATGTATACAGTATTTTTTTTTTTTTTTGGGCAGGATTGGGTTTGAACTCAAGGTCTCATGCTTGTTAGGCAGGTGCTCTACCACTTGAGCCTTTCCACCAGCAAGCTGAGGAAGTTCTTACAGTTACCCTTTTTCCACGTTTTCTTTGTAGTTTTGTTTGTGGTGTTTTCATTGTCCAGTGTCATCACATTATATTCTGTCTTGAAATACAGTGTAGGCATTGTCTGAAGTTGAGGCTTAAAACTTGAAAGCCAGAAAACATTGATAATATCATGATTATGTAAATATTAATCGCTCTATAAACAAATAATATTTTGACACATATAAGAGAAAATATTCTGTATTAAGACTTTGTCACCCTGAAGAAATATATCACTCTCCCATGAATTCTTTGACTTTTTCTTTAGCTTCTGTTGTGAGTTTCTAAATCAGATTTAGCTGCCATGTTTCCTATGTCTTGGGTTATACTCTTCTTGGATTCCATTTGAATCTGCTGTGTTGTTCCCTTAAGTAATAGTACTTAAGTGATAAACATTCTTTTTTTTTTTTTTTTGGTAGTGCTGGGGACTGGGTTTGAACTCGGTCTCACGCTTGCAAGACTAGCTCTCTGCTACTTGAGCCACTCTACCAGCCCATGATAAACATTCTGAATCTTGAAATATCCAAAAATATATTCATACTTGATTGGTTTGGTTGACTGTAGAATTTAGATTTCCAACTTTTTGCCTCAAATCTTGAAAGAATTATTCCGTTTCTCTTTGTGTTACTGAGGAGAAGCTAGATTATAATACAACCTAACTACTTTGTACGTAACCTTATGTTTTATTTTTTGTTACCCTCTACTATGGAAGCTTTAGGAATTGTCTTAAAGTTCTGAAATCTTTCCAGCCTATGTTGAGATAATTCCTTTCATTTGGAAGATTATGTATTTCCACAGTTTAGAGAAACTTTCTCCTATTTTTTATTTTTCCCTTCTTCAACTTCTCTGTGTTTGGAACTTCTATTAGACAGTGTCTAATCTTAAGAGTATGTCTGTGGATTGACCTTGTGTTCTGAATTCTGAATATTCTCCAGCTTTCTCTTGTGGGTCACCAAACTGGTCTGTAGGGTCATTTTTTAAAACTTCATTTCACCCACTGATGTTTTACTTCAGAATTTATCTTTCAAATTTTCTAATGGCTTATTTTTGGCTTTTCTTCATATAGTATCATTATTTTTATGAGTATTTATGAAAAGTGTTCCATCTCTTGAATTACCTGCTTTCTGTATTCAGTTTTTATATGTTGGCCTTTTTTTCTTTTCTGCTATTAGTTTTTTTCAAATGTCTGGTGATTCATGATTTATGAGTGAAAGACTGTTGGCTAGCTATTTTAAGTAGCTGACATGGATTTTATCCACTATTGTAAAAGTCTGTTTCATCAATAGCTGTTTTCCTCAGGGAACAAAACAGTTTGTGCCAGCATGTTTTCCTGCCCAGTGGGATCGCCTGTTTCTGAGCTTATATTCCAAACACTACTCCAGATTACTACCACCTGCCTGGTGACTTGCCCTATCCCCTGTGATCACTGGGGACAGTGGGGCATAGGATGGAAGAATGAGAGACCTGGGGGGCAAGAGAGAATTCAGTTTAGTATTTATCAGTTATCAGGAGGAAGTTTAGCATACTCTGCATATGCCCTCTTGTGGTTTAGTAGTAGATAGCTAGATAATGAGAGATATGCTTAATGAAGTCAGAAGTCCTGTTTTTTTAAGTGATTAATACATGATGTAAGATATGTTTCTATTTATAATTTTATGCTAATAATGTGTTCTGTATATGCAAAAGTTCTGATACTCTGTTCAGTGTTTTTGCAGTATTTGCATTCAAAATAAATGTAAAAGTAGCAATTGTTGGTATATTGAGGTGGGTGAATTTTTATTTTCAAACATACATTTCTTAAAGTGAAATGTTTCTTAGTTTTATAGGTTCATTTATTTGAATAAGAAATATGTGTAGATAGCCAGAGAGCAAACATGGACAGCTAGAGAAGTCACATGAAAATGGCAGCTGTGTGAATGGCGAGGGATTGATCACTATTTCTTTGGTTTGTTTGTTATGGTAGAGAAAGGCCTTTGAAGAAGAAAGAGCCAGTTGGCTAAAACAACAATTTTTAAATATGACTACCTTTGATCACCAGAACTCTGAAAATGTGAAACTTTTCAGTGCCTTCTCAGGAAGTAAGTACTTCATAAACTCTTTAATCTGAACATGCATCTAAGTTAAATGTACCACTTACTAATATAAAACTTCAGAGGTCACCAATAAGTGTTCTCTAATTTGAACTAAAAATCAACTTTTAAAAAGTAAAGGCTGTTTTGTTTTATTTTTATGTATCTATTTTTGTGGCACTGGAGATCAAACCCAGAACCTTATCCTTGGTTGGCAAGCATTCTACCAATGAGTAATATCCCCAGCCCTAAAAATTAATGTTAATATTTTATTTACCAGAATAAAAGTGAGGAAAACAAGAGAACCATGAAAATCAAAAGTGACCTTTTTGTGGATACATATAATAATGTCACATTTTTGAAAATTTATAATCTAGAGATACCATTTTTAAAGGTAGATATTTCTAACTGTAAATGTGCAACAGAGAAGTCAGGTTAATTTGTTCTCATACCTCAGAATTGCAGTTGAATCATCCTAGATAGCTGTCTCACTGTATTTAATGCTTCGCTGGTGCACTGGCACTTAAAGTACCTGCTTCTCTCTTGAAAAAACAGGTTCTGATCCAGACAATCTTATAGTGCACTCCAGGCCACGGCAGAAGAAGCCCCACGGTGTGTCCAGTGGGTCTCCAGTTTGCACATCTAAACTGACTAAATCTCTTCCTGCTTCACCTTGTACTTCAGACTTTTGCCAGACACGTTCCTGTGTATCTGAACATAGGTATTTGTCTATAGGTGATCTTTTCATTATTATGTTGCTGGAGAGAAGTTGGTATATCTGTAGTATTAGCAACAGTAAAGAGTTGAAGAGGAATTTAGTAGTTTGATGTATTCATTCTACAAATACTTATTCGATGCCTAGTATATATAGACATTGTGTGTATACAGTAGTGTACAAGATAGATCTGGTTCCTGGTCTTGGAGGTAAATCATATAATGTTTGTCTTTTTCTCTTTTTTTTATTACATATTGTTGTACTGGGTGTTTGCTGTAACATTTACAAAAGTTCTTACAGTATATCACAGTTAAACTCACTCCCTCCATCATTCTCCTTTATCCCTTCTGCCCCCACTCCCAGACTGGTTTCAACAGGTTTCACTTTTCCACTTTCATAATGTACGTGATTGTATTTCACGTTCAAAATGTTATTTGAAGGGCCAGGCATGGTGGTTCACATCTGTAACCCCAGCTATGCAGGAGGCAGAGATGAGAGGATCATGGTTGAGTCCAGTCTGGGCAAAAATGTTAGTGAGACCATATCCTCACAGCTGGAGGGTGGTCATGGTGGTTCATACCTATAATCCCAGTTACACAGGAGTCAAAAGTAAGAGGATTGTGGTCAGAGGCAGGCTCCAGGCATAAGTGAGGCCCTAGGGTTGGGGACATGGTTCACGTGGTAGAGCACTTGAGTCCTTGAGTTCAATCTCATTGCCTACAAATACATATACATATACATATATACTTGTATGTATACATGTATATACATATATAATTTTAAATATAGTCTTATTTTCAGGAGTTAATTGAACTTTTAACCACAATTGTATTTAATTTAAGGATGCTATTTTGACCATTTTTAGAGTACATATTTTAAAGTTTCTTCTGGTTTGCCCATTTGCTTTGTAGTGAAGGTCAGAGAACTTCATAAAACTTGTTCATCTTGGATGCCCAGGGGTGACAAGCAAAAAAGGTTGCTTCCCATCCTCAAGAGGCCCATGTATTGCTATGAACTGCTGCATTTTGATATTCTAGAGTCTCAAGTTATTAAGTCATTTTCTAAAATATAACAGCAGCATTCTACCTCACAGGCTATTGCGGGATTAATTTTGACTGAAACAGAGGAATCAGGAATCAGAGCATTCTTAGTGAGATAGAGAATAATAATAAAAAAAAAAACTTAAAGGGTTAAGTTGGTAAGTGTGGTAATCTCTTCATTTTTGTTTTGGTGCTGGGGTTGAGCCCAGGTATGTGTACTAGACAAGTGCTTTACCATAAAGCATTATGTCCCCAGCATAGTCTCTTTCCTCTTTTTTTTTTTTTTCTTTTGCAGTAGTGGCATTTGAACTCAGGGCCTACACCTGAGCCACTCCACCAGCCCTTTTTTTTTTAATGATGATTTTTTTTAGATAGGGTTTTGAGATAGGACTGGATTTGAACCAAGATCTTCATGATCTCTGCCTCCTGAGTAATTAGGATTACAGGCGTGAGCCACTAGTGCCCAGCTCTCTTTCCACTTAATTAAAGTAGGAGACCATAGCTGGAGGGCCTCATAGTTTGGCAGGTGCTTTAGAAAGCAGTAGTGGGAGCTGCAGCCCACTTGCCTGTGATAGAGCCTAGTGTGGAACCAAGTATTGAAGAAGCCAGCTACCCAAGGCCAAGAATGGTTAAAAGGCTGGATTTTAAAACAGGAACAGAAAAGTTTTCAAAGGAGGAGGATAGGCTGTACAATTCATAGCCAACTTTGAACAGGTTGGGGAATTAGGACTCTAGGTAAGCCAGCAAAGAGCTGAGTAAGAACCATCCAGGCACGTATGGGATGTTGAGGTGGGACACAGTTAGTATGTTTGTAGTGATGGGCACAAACATGAGAATGGAGAGGTATAAAAGTTCTCTATATACACACACAGAGCATATGATTAGGAGGTGCTGTGTGCTCATCAGGAGCAGCAGACACTAACTCATGGTCAGTATTGTTCATATAGATCTCAACTTTGCTTGCCACCCCCCTTAGAGTCACACTTGTTATTTCATTTTATAAAATATTTTAGTCTGTATTGTAGGTCAGCTATTGAGTAATAGATAAGCATTAGAGAATTTTAAATAAGAGAATGGGGCAGGTGGTCTAAGTTTTAAAACAAGTACTCTTGTCTTACTATGTGGAAAAAGATTGTAGGAGTCAGTAATGAAGTCAGGAGATCCAGATAGGAGGCATTATTGAAGCTGAGATGTGAGAGATGATGGGCACTTGAACTCGGGCCATGATGTGAAGATAGAAATGCTTAGATTGTGGATACATTTTGAAGTTAGAGCCAGTATATTGACTTATAGATTAGATACAGAAAGTAAAAGTTTATTTTATTTATAATCCAAAGATAAGAGTGTTTTTCTTTTCTTTTTTTTTTTGGGTGGGACTGGCACTTGAACTTCCTTTGTACTTGAAAAGCAGATGCTTTACCACTTGAGCCATACCACCAGTCCATTTTGCTCTGATTATTTTGGAGATGGGGCCTTGGGAACTATTTACCTAGGCTAGCCTTGAACTGTGATCCTCCTGATCTCAGCCTCCCATAGCAGCCACCAGCGCCTGACCAGAGTATTTTTGTAACATGTAATATTCCTGAGACAAATTTGACCAATTAGAATTATCTGCATAGATAAATATACAAATTCTCGCCATTTGTAAATAATGCTTTTACATCTAATAAATAGCACAACATAGTTGTCTTTGTTGTTAATTTTAAATTTTTACTTTTTACACAATCATTTTTAGTTATGTAGTACGTAACATATAAATATTGCCTGAGGGCTACAAACTACCAGTAAATATATGAATAAGTGTTCAACTTCCCTAGTTATAAGAGATTCAAATCAAAACAACACTTAGATTTCATCTCACCCCAGTTAGAATGGCCATAATCAAGGGTAATAATAACAACAAATGCTGGTGAGGATGTGGTGAAACAGGAACCCTTATACAGTGCTGGTGGGAATGCAAATTAGCACAACCACTATGGAAAGCAGTATGGAGATTCCTCAAAAAGCTAATGATAGAACTGCCATATGATCCAGTGATACCACTCCTGGCATCTACTCAAAGGAACATAAGTCAACATACAGTACAAACACTTGTACACCACTGTTCATCACAGCACTATTCACAATAGCCAAACTTTGGAAACATCTCAGATGCCCTACAACTGATGAATGGATCAAGAAAATGTGGTATATATACACAATGGAGTTTTACTCAGCCATAAGGAATAATGGCATGTGGTTGGAAGGTAAATGGATCCAATTGGAAGACATCATGTTAAGTGAAGTTAGCCAGTCTCAGAAAGACAAAGGCTGCAGTTTTCTCTCATACGTGAACGATAGATGCAAAAGATAGACATATATACAAAAACAAGCATGATCGTATACAAACTCATACGTAGAACATGTTTGTAACAGTGGAACTACTCTATGAAACTCGGAAAGAGGGAAAAGAAAAGAAAATGATAGAGCATTAGTAATATTGTAAAACATAACATCTGTGAAGATAGAGAGTAAGAATATGTACTGAAAGCTGTTGAAAAATGGGAGGTGAAAGGCCAAGGGGTGAGAGAGAGTATTGGAAGGACTTGAACAGACCAAAGGAAAATATACCCACAGTGAGGATACATTGAGACACCCCTTTGAACATCAACTTATATATTAACAAAGAAAGACAGGACTGTAAAATAGGTACAGTGTACTAGTGGAAGAGGGGAGGGTGAATGAAGGAGATTAAAGTGAGGGTGTATGGTTGATGGACTTTATATACTTACATGAAATAGAACAAAGAAACCTCTTACAATTACTTTTAAGTGGGGTGGGGAGGGAGTTGGGGGGTGATACAACTAATGCACAATATAAGCCTAATCAGAACTGTCACTATGATTCCCCCCATATAATGAATATATCCTCATTAAAAATAAAAAGTACATATCACCTGAGGACATACTTATGTGTTTAATAAAGCTAAGAGGAAAAGTCCAGTATGTAGTACTTAAACATCAAAGGGTATAGTAAGTATTAATTATGTAAAGCACTTAAACAGTATTTGGTCCATTGTAAACATTGTTTGACAGCAAAAATATATGTGGACACAAATGTATTATTTTTTTTTCCCAGTTATTAAGCTTACAATTTATTCCGGTTTATTTTCTTACCTGAGTGTTTTAATAATCTAATTTTACAATAGGATTCTTCTTTGAGAATATGACACAAATGTATTATTAAATGCTTTCCTGTTTCTTGCATTGTAAAGGCTACTTTAAACATGAGCGGCATAGAACCAGAATTTTGGAGCTTAAAGGAACTGTTAAGCTATTCTATTCTCTGAGAATGACACAGAAAAGAGTAACTCAGAAGCTGTGCAGCTTGACATGGTTCTCAAATTTTATTTTGTAAATTTGGATCTCTTCTAAAGTACCTTGAATCTCAGTTTATAGTAAGATTACCGAAAAATAATTAGGAGTTTTTTGTAGCTGATTTCTACAACACTCTCATTGAGTCTTCACAATAGAATGGAATTTTAGATGAAGGCCGTGTTACTGATGCAACTAATTTGATCATTGATCTCACTGGAGATGGCTCTGAGGTACAGGAATTCTGAAGACTGAATTATAAACAAGTTTTTGAGTTCCTCCCCTCCAAGTGTTGGTAAATAAACCTAAGCAAAACTTAATTAGGTTTTTGTTTTCCATTTTTAGAATTCAAAGTAATTTAATGTTTTCTAGCATTTTCTAAGGTCAGGTTAGTAAATAGTGATAAAAGTGTACATTTAAAAGTGTTTGTGGAAAAAAATTACCTAAAATACTGAGTTAATAAAAATCATTGGCTTCAACTCCACAAATTTTAAAGTAATTACTTTAAAATTTCAGACTCTGGTCCCTTAGCCTCCTTTTTTTGTTTTGTTGTACAGTGCTGGGGTGGAACCCAGGACCTTTTGCCTGCTGACAAGTGCTGTCCTACTTGAGCCACATTCCCAAATGTTTTTATTTTGTTCTCTAGATAGGGTCTCCGTAACTTTGCCTCAACCAGCCTCAGGCTACAATCCTCCTGCTTCTGCCTCTTGAGTAGCTAGGATTCCTAGGCATACTCCACCATGCCTGGCCTTAAATATTTGAATGGATGGATAGGTGAAAGCATTGATGAGCAAATGAACAAGTAAAGAAAGAAACTGTAAGGAGATCAGAAAATTAGGGCCACAAAGATGGAGACATGTGGAACACAAACTTTCAAAATCCTCATGTTCTCTATCTTCTTCACTTGGGCAGCATGCTTCAAAATAGGGTCTAGGGATAAATTAAATATATAGATAAATAGATAACTGGATGGATAAAAGTCATAAATTAGCAATTTTGAAAAATTTCTTTATCATGTTTTTGATTGTTATGTCCTAAAATTTTACTTCATACATGGCATGGGACAGACTTCAGTCATTCACACATATCTAAAGTGTAAAAGAAGGAGAGAAAAAGTTTACTAAGATCTACCTTTGTTTTTCAGCAGTTCAGTCAATGTGCCGAATATCACTTCTGAAGAAACTAAACCAAATCAACCTGGAAGAGAATACACAAATCAGAAGTGGAGCATGGCATCAAGACCTGGATCACGGGAAGGTTGTTTCTACAGTGGCTGCACCTTGACCTACACAAATTCTCATGTAGAAAAAGATGACTTACCATAGGCATGTGGACTGGAACTTTTCATTACTGTGTGCATCTGATTTCACATCTACGTTAAAACAGGGTCTGTCATAAAGTCAGTCACCTCTAATAATCTAAGACAGTCTGAGTTGTTTGTTTGGACTTCTCTGTCTTCCCCCAAAGAGCTGAAATGCTAAATTTATTTAAAAGGATGTAAAAGCTTTGGATATGTATTTTTAGTAACAGAAGCATCTGGTTCTGTGAATAAAGGAATGTATAGATGTTCGGATGAAAACAAAAGCACTAGAATGAGTTTCCTCTTTTAGGTATTAAAAAATAGCACTTTTAGGAAACTGATTATTGTAAATGTTTAATTTTTGTCCCAAATATAGATGGCATTGAAAGTTTAGCCTTTACTTGAATGTATACTGTAGATTTTTAACAAAACAAGTTCTATATTTATTATGTTTAGTGTGATTTTGGAATTACCTCTTTCATATGTTTTAAATAAAGTGAAATTTATGTATGTTTTGTACATAGATATACATACATGATTATGTTAAGAGGCTTTAAGATTTAAAAATTTTACACAACCCTAAATATAGTATTTCATGCCAATAAAATTTTCTAGCGGCATTCTGTTTACAGAAGCATTAGGATCACTGCCACATTTAAGGTTTTTTTTTTTTTTTAATCCATCTGGGCAATCAATACTCAAATTTATGCCATGTAGCTGAGTTCTTTAGGTAATCAGCATTACTAACATTACATTTTTGAGATTTTTTACAGCATTAGATTGTTATTTTATATATGTAGGCTATTATAATTTTTGAGAGGACTATTGACTGTGGAGTAGGAGGGACAAGACAGTAAAATTACTTTTGAATCACAGTATAAGAACGTTGATTTAAGATATTTGGATGATAAAAGATAGTTAAGATGTGTGCATGGTAATATTTTCCTTACCAGATGGATACCAGTACAGTTAATATCTGTACCAGCTAGGGCTTTCTATCATTGCCAATAATTTTTTAATAATTTTTCAGTGAAGTGTTTACAACACTACTGATAAAGAAGTACACAATATAAAATCATTGGGTTTTTTTAACATGAATATGGTAACTCTGGACAATCTTGTGACATTTCATTTTCAGAACCATCTTAGGCTCTTTTGTCTCCATAGTGTTTCTGATTGCATGTTTCTTCATGAGAAGTATGCTATTGGTAGCAGTAGTAGTAATAAATGTAGGCCCAGGCTCTTCTCCTGGATTCTCATCCAAAAGCTTTAAGTGCCTAACCTTGCTTGTCTCCACATAGAAGCAGTCTACACAGATCCAGTCCTTGCTAGGTGTTGCTAGTCTATCCGCCTTGCCCTTTTCTAGTGGTTTAACCAGTATATACACTTACTCTGTGACTGTTCCATTTAAATTTGTCATTGTGTGAAGAAAAAAAAAGTATGTGTCATCCATTCACTGTATGTGATAGAGTTGTGTAGCAGTAGCCATTTTCCCAGGGTTCATCAGATACCACTGAGTATCCTATGAGACATTACTGAGCATAGTCCTAGCAGTAGCCGTGTTTATAGTCTCAAAAGTCTGGCTCTTGAATGTTAGTCACTTACTACAGTGAGCTTGGTGCATGGTCACTTTTTTACTCTTTAAGATACTACAGAATTTCAGAGATACTACCATATTCCAGACAAAGAAATCTAGCTGGGATATAATTTTTTTTGCCACTCAGGATTTGCATAGTCAAAGAAAGAAAGGCAATCAAATTTTAAAAGTAGTCATTGATGAATCTGTCAAGATACCCTCCTCCCTTGTGGGATTTCCATGCAGAAATGTACTTTGCCAGGAGTAAACATTCTGATTTTTAATACAAACTTTGTACTTTAGGGATACTCTATTCCATGAGAATAATTTCTAGAAAGCAGCATCTGGTTGTTGTATGTTTCCATTTTAAAGTGTGTTAAGTTCTCATTGGAAAGAAAAATTCCTTGAGGTTTACTTTTAAATTAAGATGTGAAAGAAACAGTAAAATGAAAACCAGATTGATTATGCCTGTGCTTTTGGTGTTTGTACAGATCCACTGGAAGTTGTATGTTACTTTACCTAACTCACTTGTTTTGCTGCACGTTCCAACGCTACAGTGATCCCCAATCAGCCAAACCTCCCGGATGGTTGTTTTCCATGTTGTTAAAGCCATAATTCCACACACAAAACTCCCAAGACTTTGTTTCTCTTCCTTTTCTAATTATCTGCCTTGCACAGATTGTACAGCTGTGCCACGATTAGATAATGGGGCCAGAGTGTACTTCGGCTCAGAAGCCCTCCTGATATCATGTTCTCTTATCAATATGTAAATTATATTTTGTGCCTCATATTTGTTTCTACATGAGATCCATTTTGAATTTTCAAAACATAAAAGTGGAAATGAAATTTTGAGATAAATTTCCTAACTCTTAAATGTTTGTAATTTACAGTGACAAGAAATTTAATGGAACAATCAATGACCAGAAAATCATGACTAAAATTTAGTAGGTGTTTTCTTAAATGGATGGGTTCACAGGACAATCTACAGCAAATTATCTGCTTCATGGTATAATTGAATACTGTTACTTAGAAAGAATTCTGCATTTCCATCCTTAGCTAAGTGGAAAACACTTCATGGCGCATGATGAGAAAGAGAGCACCCTAAAGCCCAGTCTTGACCTCCTGTGGGGACCATTTGAAAGCCTCTGGGACTCCAGGAGAGGCTTTTACAGTGTGTATGCCTGGAGCACTGTAAGTTAACAAGACCCTTCTGTGGTCACTCTTATGAAAATCTTCAAAGTGTGTACCATAATGTAAATCCTGTTCTTATTTGTAGAAAGGATTTAAAGTAAGGATCGTGGAACTCTAGTAAATATACCTTTTCCTACACCTGTGTTTACTCTTAGTCTGTTGATAAGCATTTATGGAGTACCTGCTGTACATCACAGCTTTGTCGCTTCTGTCTTATCCCTGAGGATCAGAAGACAAGCACACTCATCGCCATTGAGAATTGCTGAGTTGAGTGGAAGACCAGCTATAGCAACCTGAATTGCAATGAAGTGGTAGATGCTATCCACACATTCAGTCTGTTCACAAAGCGTGGGCTGGAGTTTCTGCTCCAGGCCACACACCGGTTTCCTAACAGCGGTGCTGGGCTTTCACTTGCGTCTTGGCGTTGTTTTCTGCGGGACTTGCTATGTAATAGAATGTCTTGCTGGGTTTTGTTTGCTGACATGCAAAGCAGTATAGGACTTTCTTCCCACGTGCAACATGCATTATCTGATAGAAAACCATTTGCAAGGATGTGGGCCATGCAGATAAGGAAGTAGATTATTGTAGTTCTTTTCTAAACAATGTTCTGTTTTTCCCCTCCCCTGGGATGGATGTAAATTAGAGTGGAATGGACTGTTGATTAAATTATTTAATATAAAAACCTTCACTTGAGTGGTCGACGTTTTTCTTAAAAATGAAATCTACTTACAAATGATGGATTTGGGAGGGCTTAGGAAACACTGTTATGTTAATGATACATGAAGACCCACCTCAATATTCATGTACTTAAAATTCAGAAGTATTTTTACCAAGTATAGCGCTTAACACAGCAAGCATATAGCAGGCATGTTTGCTGATGAGAAATATACTGATGAAAATAGCATGTTTCTATACTGGAATGAGTGGGCTATAAAATTTGGGTGAGTCCTAAAGCTGTTTAGATGATAGGAGCCTTACTTTATGATTGTGTGTTCCCAACCCTTTTTTCTTTTTTTTTTTTTGATTCCTTGCACAGTAGTAGAATGTCATGGCAACACTAAAGTGATGGCACCTGATATAAAAGTTTAGGACTTGAGAGCGGTGGGTGGTGTGACACATATTTTTTTCAGTAAAAGTAATAGTAAAGTTTATTAGGAAAGGATTACACTTTCAGCAGATTGAAAGCAGATTAAGTGGGTTGTCTCTAGAGTGAGAGCAACGGGGTCAGTGGGGAGGGAAAAAGAAATTTCCTGTTCCTAATGCAGGAAATGGGAGCAAAAACTCCTGGTATATTTTTTTAAGGTCCAGTTTGAAAGAGGCCACACCTCCAGCCTAACTGCAAACAAGGCTGGGAGATATCAAACACATAGCTATTTGGTGGGCATTGGTGGTCTCTGCTGTGTAGTATAGCTGATGCTGGCTAGCTCATCCCTGTGGCTGTGTATTACAACAGCAGCAAGGGATTTGGTGGTGGTTTTTAAAGCTTCAAATGTTCTTAATCTTTGGAAGGAATGTACTTTAAAGTTTCTCTTCTCAAACCCTTTCATAGTAGAAAATGGTAGTTTTAGCCATTTCATTTAGTTAGTGAAATATCTTACAATGCACAGAACACATTTTCCTTTGATTTAAAAAAAAAAAAACAAACTCTGTGAGCCATAATATAAACCTTCCTATTTTTAGAGTTGATAACAGAGTTGGATGTTAAATGATGAGCCCAGCATCACACAGTTAGAAAGTAGAAAAACCAGAACTTAAAATGTCCTCTGATCCCTGAATTCCAGCTTATTCCAACCACACTCCTACAGCTGGGCGCCAGTGGCTCACGTCTGTAATCCTAGGTACTCAGGAGGCAGAGATCAAGATTGTGGTTCAAAGCCAGCCCAGACAAATAGTTCCACGAGACCCTATCTCGAAAAAACCCTTCACAAAAAAGGGCTGGTGATGTGGCTCAAGATGAAGGCCCTGCATTCAAGCCCTAGTGCCACCAAAAAAAAAAAAAAAAATCACATGATAGTGAAAATCTATAAATTATTCCATCTTAGGAAAATCAAACTTTTCCAAGCAATTTTTACCCCAAAGAAAAAATGGAAATCCAAAGTCTGGCCACATAATGCCTTGGCACATTGTTTGTTCTAAGATAAACCCCAATAATACTATGTAACTGACATTTGTTAATGATTGCTCTGGAGGCTGTAACTTATCCAAAAGGAGACGCTTTTGATAATGAAAGGAGGAGCTATTCATGATTGGGCCTGCCACCACCAGCGTAAACTAGGACAAATGTGTATGATTCAAGCTTTCTTCAAGTAACCAGAACTTTGATTTGAGTTTCTAACACTGAACCCTAATCCCCCCAAAATGAGTTCCTTTAATTCATACCTCAAATATAGTTCTTGAAAGGTAGGATCAAGTTGTAGTCCTAAGATAAGTCAGTTCTCTTACAACAGTTTTATGGAAAAAGCAAAAATTTGCCCCAAATTGCAATTGATATGTTATGGAACAATTTAGGCAAAACACAAAATTGCCTTTGTTTATGTGTGATTCTGTGAGAAACAGGTAAGTGTAGAAAACTGCACCCAACTGAACCAAGCTGGATAGGAACATACCAAACACACCTCAAATGTCTTCCAGCTACCTTGGTTTACTTGATGTGTTATGTAAACCACACCCATCCCTGTCTGACGTCACTTTTCTCCCTCAGACTTTAGGCAATTCTACCTAACGCCAGCAGGTCACAACTCACAAGCTGCAACTCTTCTAGTGGCCACTTCCACAAACTTCAGTCTTTTTTAAGGTGAATGCATATATTGTATGCATGTGTTTCTTAACTTTTTAACCATGTTTATATTGAAATCTCTCATTTTTTTAATGAGTCATCAATGAAATTTTGAGTGTTGAGCATTTTCCCCATATATTCTGTGGATTTATTGTGTAAATTTTGCCTATTGTGATTTTTAATATGTGGCATTAAAGCAGACTAGTGCAAAAAAGCAGCCTTTTGTCTCCCCACTCCGACTGATGGACAGTTTCTCAGAATCCCATGCCAAATTTCCTCTCTCTACACATCTATAACCCAACCAAACTTTACTTGGACAGAAACTTTAAAGTATCTAAAATGCATTGATCCCTAATTGTGCCAGTCACCACATGAAACCTTAATAAGCAATTTCTTCTACTTCTGAAGACTCCACACATGGGAGCTATTGCTACATCACAGATGAAGAAATGCCACAAAGAAGGCTGAAGAATCATGCCCTGTGGCACACAGCTAGCATGTGGTGGAGAGGGCATTCGAACACTGGGAAGCAGATTCAGATTGTCTTATGGCACATTGTGTCTTTAATTTCCTTCAGTATCAGCGTAAGTGTTCTTAGCTCTAAAAAGCTTTCCCTGATTCTCACAGGCAGGCAGTCCCTTCTCTGCTCTCAGCATTGAATTTCCTTTTATTCATTCAGCAAAGTTTGTTAAGTGCTTATTAGGATTGTGATGCCAGGTGTGGGGCTCTAACATTGAAGGTGGCTTAGCAGTTCCTCAGAGACTTACAGTCTACTGATAGGAAGAAGTGCATAGGCAGCTTAAGGCAGCTGGGCAAGTGCTCTGATGTGGGTGTCTTGAGTGCCAAGAGCGGAAAAAGGGAGCAGCATTTTGGGCTGAGGGGAAGGGGATCAGAGAGGATGCTTCAGCTAAAAATTGAAGAGTGAGCATTAGAGAGAGAAGGAACAGGACATTCAAGGTCAGATGTTAGGGAACTACATGACCTTCGGAGAAACTACAAATGGCTATGGTGAAGGATTTGGGAGGCCAGTGGGAAGTGCAGGCAGTGGCCAGGCTAAAAGGCTCATGGCTACAAGGGATTTGGAACTTACCCTGAAGGCTTGGTAATAATACTGAATAATTCAAGCACAAATGTGACACGGGACTGTTTCCTCGCTTTGTCACAGTACCATGAACACTCCTCTGTTAAAGTATTTATTACAAATGCCTTAATTGTATACACATTTTTTAAAGGATAGTCCCTTTTTTATTTTTTAATCTTTTGGCAGTACTGTGGTTTGAATTCTAGTTCTAGGCAGGTACTCTACCACTTGAGCCACACTCTGCCAGCCCTAATTGTATATACTTCTGTTGTAACATTTGCACAATTCTAACTTCCAGATGGAAGTAACATGTAGTATTGCTGGAAGAAAAACAAAATGGAGAAGAGACCAGGCTTCAGTAATTCAAGTGACAAGTGGTTGAGAGGAGGGGTAGGTTTACAGGTAGAGTAGGTAATAATATTGGGATTAAGTGAAACAACCTAGGCTGGTTCTTGGCCCAGGTAGTGATGAGTGATAGTTTTAAGGAAGAACAGCTTTGGAGATTGTTCTGGAAGTGGTTCACTCAGCAGACCTGGGTTGTCTGCACAGTACTCCCAAGAAAGGTCTATCTTTAGGACTGGCCCCACTGGCTCCTGGGAAATAGCCTCTGAGTGTTGGCATATTCTGCCTAAGAGTATTTCTATGTGCCTCAGGCATTGGGCCATGCTGTACCACTGCAACCAGGTGACTTTATCCCAATAAGGTGGTTTATGATGAACACCTGTTGCTGCCCATGGGTTGGAGATAGTAATCCATGTCATTCACATGGAAGGACTCTGCATACCTACCAACAGGAGCCTCAATCACCAATGCCTGGGTGAACTCCTGTGGCAGCACTTTGCATGTTAGTCATTATTGTGACTCTACATTATTGTGATTTAAGGACACCTGGAAGCTGTGCTAGGATTCCCTTAGACTTTGCCATGCCCTTTCCCTTTGCCAAAGCTAATCTGGATTTGGCTGTAACAAATTACAGGCAGGAGCACAACAGGTTTTCTGAACCCCAAGAGTTCACTATGAATCATCAGGCCTATGGGAGATTTTGGGGCGCCCCAGCTCAGGGATAATGACCTGTTCTGGACATGTTGACTTCAGGGGCTCTGTGACATCTAAGTTCATATGTCAAGTAGTCATGTGATGTATGTTTGGAGCTCAAAAAAGAAGTCTAAACTAGATAGTAAGATCTGAGTCAACACATCAGTGGCTATTGAAGCTATCAACATATTGAGGTCACAGAGGAGAGCTTCTGAGAAGCCTGGGGTAGAGATTTCAATATTACATTGCCTAAGCAGGTGTGGAAGCAGGCTCTTTCTAGGGAGAAGAGAGCCAGAGACCTGAGGAATATCGGGAGGCTGTCAGAAGCCATCCTTAGGAAGGGGAGAATTTCTAGGAAGTCCAAATGTTACAAAGATGACAAGATATAGATAGAAAAATAGCAATCCTTATTAAGGAGGAAAATCTGCATTTTCTAAGTGAATTTACCCAACACTCATTGAGCACCCACTGTATAACAGCCTTCAAGAGTTCAGCACAAAAAGGAGGTGCCCAGGTAATTGGTTCTACCTTAAGAGGGCATCACCTGTCTCCCAGGACGAGTGCAGAGGACATACCTCCCTCGTTGCTGAGAGTGGCGGGGTGTTAGGTATCCTGAACTGCATCTTAAAGCACCAGTCAAGGCTCAGCACAAGGGGCTTGTGCAAGCCACCATTTGCTTCGGGTGTGGGGTAGCATGAAGAGCAGAGAGCAAGGGGACCAGAGACAAGCTATCAAGAAAGCCTGAGAATTATCCCAAAGCATTGGAGGATGTAATGCAGAGGAACAAG